AACTCCCAGAGTTCCTCAGCCAGCAAAGCTGGCTGAGGAACTCTGGGAGTTGAAGTCCACAAGTCTTAAAGTTGCCAAGGTTGGAGACCCCTGATTTTAACTAATGTGGCAAGAAAAGTCATAAAATGGGACAAAATTCACTTGGCAACATAAATTTTGGGCTCAATTGTAGTCGTAAGAAGAGGACTACCTGTACTGTACAAGAAAACAAAATGCACCCTATTCCCTTATAATAATTACACGTAGGGATCTGGGAAATAGCGCCTTACTGCTTGCCTGGTACCACTTCAGGATGGGTTTCCATGTCTGGGTGACCTAGATGCTTGGGGACTTGTCTGTTCAAACTTTTCGTGAACTATGTGGTATGCTTATCCTAAAATTAATCATTGGACACACACCCACACGCAAATCATGTTCCTTCAAAGCCAGGAGATGAACCTGTATTTGACAGGCACTGAATTAATAGGACTGTGAAGATTCAGAGGCTGTAAGATACAAGGTTATAGAATGAACATTAGCATCTCCTTAAAGCAAGTGTCTTTCCTACACATACCTAGAAAAAGATCCATTTGGTTTTTCATCCTTGCATTATTATGAAGCAATTTTTTTGCCTTTGAATCTGAAGTACTGAACAGGCTAATTTGCTACTGACTTATTTATCAATAAAATTATCAATAAAAAGCAGGATAGAAATGTTACAAATATACGAGTACAAAAATACATTTGCATATTTATTTGCAAATATATTTTTTGAATCCAGATTCCAGAAATATATATGGCACCATTTCCTAGTTGTGTTTTCTTTAGTACTTACGCCCAAGCACTTTTGGAAAAAAGAGTGGCATTCATTTCTTTGTTTAAAGCCTTGCCATAATTATGCAGTTAACCTTATGAAGAACAAGCATACAGTATTGTGACCGAGACATTCACAGCAGAACTAGCAGATGCAGAGAGTATGTTTGGCCTGGGTCTTCATATTTGGCTCTAAAAGATTTCACGGAACAAAGTCTACTGTGTGGCAGTACAGTTTTTTCCTCAAGAGAAGCAGCAGACTATCTGAATAACAGCAATATTGAGTCAGATGAAATCATGTAGTCACTGTTATTATAGAAATAGCACTTATACTCAGGTCCTTGATCAGTCAGTTATTGGCTACTTGTAATTGAGACACGTTCATACTGAGAATTCCTACAATTTACTAAAATAGAAAAATACATGGTGTGTGATTTATTTTTCCATTTAGCCAATTGAGGTTACAAATACAAGAAATGTTTACAAATAGGCTGAAAAATATATTAAATATATAGAAATAATTTATTTTACACTATGTTGATTGGAGATACTTCAGATTTACCTTATCTACATTGTTTAGCATTCTTTTTCCCTAATAGCATTGTTGGAGAATCTTCTGAAGTGAAAATGTAATTTTGGATTGCATGAAGGAATTACCATGGGTGTATTCATCACCCACACAAACATATCAAAATTAATCTGGCACCATACTACCAAATATTACACTGAAAGAGTGGGTGAAGGTTCTTACTCAAATTCCCTATTAAAGTTCTGTTTAATCAAAATAGCTATATTACATAGGATTACTATATAGATATGACTAATTGCTTTTGGATTTTTCAGAGTAGAGACCAAATATTTACCAAAGAATAGAGCAGAGTATTGAAAGAATAAGCCTGCAAGGAGTTGCTCCTTTGATGAAGTGGTTAAAGATTATTGTAGTCACCTGCAGCTATTACACTCTGTGTTTTGGGTTATTTATTAAAATCATTTGCTTTCCATCATACCCATGGAAGTGTGAAATTTATGTACCAAGCACGTTCTTTCATGGTGGTTCAGATGATCCAACGATGCAATCATGGATTTTTCCATCTGATTATTGGGCAGCAGCCAGTATTTCAAAAGTGATTACAAATTTAACTATATACTGTACAATTCACAATAAAGATAATACCTGTGTTAGTTTTTCATATGTGAAATGTTGTTTGCCAAATCCAACATTAGAAATAATCCCTAAATAAGTTAGGATTATAGTGTCAGTTGTGTAAATACATGCGCTGGTGATTATTGACTTTTAACAGAGAATTATGTCCGTAATTGCATTTAAATCATATTTATATGCTACCCTCTGTGACATTAATTCCACAGAAGGCCTGTAAAATAAATAAGGTTGAGAATTGACTCAGACTTCATGCTAAGTTCTAAAGTAAATTAGGACTCTATTTGTGGAAATAGGAAAGTCTTAATTCTATAATTCTTAATACTAGTTCCCCTATTTTTCTAGAGGATCTTTCAGGGAGCATAAGGGAAGAGGGAATGAGCAAAACATTCAATAGGACTGGACTGCACATCTGTGTTTTTTGTTCTTGGAAATATTTGAAATAGTGAATAATTTGCCTTCTCATTTTCTATCCATATAATTTGAAGAAACTAATAAATACTATATTAGAAACTAGGAATTCTTTATGAGTGGGCTATTCCACCAATAAATGATTATAAAACTTCATCCCTGTCCCCTTGGGGGTGTTTGGGGGGGGGGGCACAGATGGAAAGCAAACTTCTGATTAAGACATATTTTAGAAGACCGAATTCATGCAAGATGCTAAATCAAACCAAACAACCTTATCATGATGTGTTTACCTAGACTTAATGTTTTCTTTGTGTGTAGTTTTTATACATAACTTGTTTTATTTTACAGATCCACAGTGGGCGCACTTCTGGCAGATAAGGTAGTTATTTGTATAATTGTTGATTGTTTATTCACCATTTCTTACAAGTATCTTTGAAGGTATATAACAACTGTAATAGCTCAGTGCAATCATAACATATGAAACTCTTTAAGAGTATCAGAATGTTAGTTCATTCACAGTGTTTATTCATTCAAAAGTAGCCTTGATTTTGCACCCATGCTTTTGGTTTGCCTTGACATGCACAGGCAAGAATAGTGACATGACCCACAAATTATATTTCTTTTGGCATTGTGGACAATAGAGTTGTAGACTAGGTCCCAGCAGCCACAGCAAATCATCTCGGAAACAAACTGACATTATGAATGTTATTGTATAATCATGTAAATACTATACTTTGTTTGTGCATCAGGATATCTGACACAAGTTACAGCATTTACATATATCATCACACATACCATCTTTTGCCCCCCTCTCATAGATGCCCATGAAGCAAGTTGGTCTTAATTTTCATAATCTCCAAATACCAGACAATCATGTTGGTTGGGAAATTAAAAGTTATTCCCATTGTACCTGGAAGGCACAAGGTTAAGGAAGGCAGGAAGTACCTGAGACAAGAAAACATATTTTCACAAAATACAGTCCATATATAATATATACTTCAAGTGGGGATACAGTCTATTGGATATATTTATTTCCTGAATTTGCAGACGTTTAATTTTGAGAGAAATCTGTTGTATTATTAATGTGAATCATATATGATATACGCTTGCTATATGCCTTTGCTATAAAAGTATTTTTATTAAAACTAAATAATCCATCATTATGTAGCTAGGCTGGAAATTCTATGAAGGTGATGACTATCATCCAGAGGAGAACAGAAAGAAAATGGCTGAAGGAATACCTCTAACTGACCAGGTATTGTACATAGTCTTGAGGTCACTTTCATCCAATAAAACTGATAGTGACTGAGTTGGGCAAAAATTTGAAGATTCCAGATTAGTGAATTAAATACTGTCCTTCAAAGCTATGTCGTTTGATCTCTCTGTTTCCATGGGGGTCAGTCCTTCCTTTTCTTGCAGAGCACTGTATAAAATAATCCTAGATGATCTGATTGTAATTCAGCTGACCTTGCGAGGACTCTTTTCATCCAGATTCTCCCAAACTGAAAACTGATCAGCTCCCTCAATAAACTGATTTTTTTAAAAAAAAAAAAAACCTCAATGTTGATCATGCATTAAGTACATAGATTTAATTATTCAACAAGACATTCAGGAGTATGACCCTAAATGGACTCAGAAAATATTTCTAAAAGTTGCAAGAATTAACAAAATGCCAGCAGTGTGAACTCTTAATGCTATGCAGTCAGTACACTGCTTGAAGTTACAAAAAAATATAGAACATATAGCCAGGGGTAGGGAAACTTGGCTCTTTTATCACTTATGGACTTCAACTCCCAGAATTCCTGAGTGATCCATAAAAGGTTCCCCATACCTGGCCTACTGGTTTTTCAGTTGTGAGGGAAATCAGTTTTTGACTTGAATGTACATATTTAATATACAAATGTAGAACATATGTCCTACGTTTATATATTAAACAGTCCCATTCAAGTAAAAAAATGATTTCCCTCACCAGTACGCCAGGGATGGGGAACCTTTTATGGCTCACTCAGGAATTCTGGGAGCTGAAGTCCATAAGTGATAAAAGAGCCAAGTTTCCCTACCCCTGGCCTAGGGAATAGAAATGACTTATGTTTCAATATCAAAAGAGGCATTATTGGAGAACTTTGCAACTACTAAATATTTGCACCTGTCTCGCATGCAAGTAAGCCAACAACCAAGACTTCGTATCTGGATTTCGACAATACATGGAATGAGAACTGCAAGGTAGGGAATTTGATTTCAGAAGAGGCAGGGGCATCTGAGGTCACGTTGCTAATACTGAGTGGGTAATGAAGGAGTTCCAAAAATATAACTATTTTTACTTTATTGCTTATTCTAACGTTCTTCATGCAATAGACCAGAACAAATTGTCAATAGCCTTTGAAAACATGGATGTATCAGGCCATATATCAGGCTTCTTAAATAAATTGTATGATGACTAAGAAAAAAAGAGTTAGATGGAATATGGAGCAATTATATAAATGATTCAGATTGGGATATAGAAATGTGCCAAGCTTTATATTCTCATTTTATTGAACATACATATTTATCCTGCTACATGCTGGACTGATGAATAGAAATTGGAACTGAAATTGTTGGAGGAAACCTAACTATGACAGAATGTTGGTGATAGCACTTTGATGGACCGTACAAAATGTGCTTGGTATTGTATGTCATTTATACAGCTGAACTGATGCTCCTCCCTACCCCCCAAGAGATCAAGAGCTATGAATTACTTCTATATGTGGTCTGTTTTCTGTTCCAATGCTGACAGTGTATGATTTATTGAAATGGTGACCACTTTCTTTTTTAGTGAATGAACACATATCCACCTTTCAACACTGGTAAAATTCAGAGTTATCAGTTAAAAAAAAAAGTCTAGTGCAGTGTTGGCGAACCTTTTTGGTACCAAGTGCCGAAACAGGAGCGCATGCACGCACACGAGGGAGCACCAAAAACCAGAAGAGCAGCTGCCCTGCTGTGCAGTTTCCGGTGTATGCATGCATGCTGGCCACCTGGTCTTCCAGTTTCTGGCATGCATGCACATGCGAAGACCAGCTGGCCAGCACTCATGCACACGCCAGAACACGGAAGAGCAACAGGAGATGGCTGGCGTGCTCAGAGAGATGGCTCTGCGTGCCACTTCTGGCACGTGTGCCATAGGTTCGCCGTCACGGGTCTAGTGCCATTTAAGTGAAAATGTGATGCTTTCATAAACAAGTTATGAAATCTGAATCAGATAGAGCTTAATTGGATTATACCAAGAAATGGTATTAATTGTTTTGACTGACTTGCCTCATTCATGAGTCATGTGAGATAGGAGGCAGAAATTGCTGTCATAAAGAAAGAGCTGTATGTTGAAGCCGATACATAATCTTCACTAGTATAATGAGGCTCTGATACACATTAAGATTTTTAACAGAAAATATTACAAATTGGTAATGCTAATTGCTTTTGCAAATGATACAGATTATTTCAGGTTAATATGCATTATTTGCTTAAACTGGTCTGTCTTGTTTTTTTTTTTTTTTTTTAGGATAGGATACCATGGCTTTGCCACCTACATGATATATTAATGAGGTAAAAATGTTCCCATTGTAACATGAAACTGGTCTTGAGTGGATTCTGTTGCTGAGCATGCAGCTCATCTTGCTTTAATGTCCCAAGTTTGGTGAACAACTTCAAAACTCCCAACCCCCTAAATCTAAGCATAAAGGCTAAGTATTAAATACGAACAATTTTTGGGACATGGCTTGGAGTAAAGTAAGGTGTATCCCATAGAGAAAGAGATGTCCCCAATCCCTTGAGTAGCACTGTTTCTCCATGACTGCCAAAAGCAAACTTCTATAATATTACGGTTTGCTGCATATTGATTTTAGTAGATTCAACCTGTTAATAATAAAAGTGTACTATTAGCTTTGGGACATTTGTGTTGGATTAGGATTTGTTGAACATGGTTAGTAAGGGATGGAGTATAACAAAGGGTTCCAAAAAGGTAGCAGTTGAAAAAGTGGGGGAATTATGTGGTTTGTTGCGAATTATTTAGTTGCAAACTAAATAATTACATAAACTGGTGAATTGAGACCTCAGTCAGAATGCCTTTGTTCTGGGAGTTTTCTACACACAGAATTTTTGCATGGGAGAATCTCAAATACTTCATTATATTAGTATATGTTCATTGTCTGAATGCCTAATCCCAGTTCTAATGAAGTTAAAACATACACACACTTTTTTTTCTAATGCATAGATATTGTCAAAATTCTAATTTTTACAGAGAACATGCATCTGGACAAAGTGTCATTTTAGCTTGCTCAGCTCTCAAAAAATTGTATCGGTGCATTTTGGAGAACGGAGAGGCTGGTTGTCAAAGTTTGAACAATCAACCAGAAGAAAACGAGTCTGCTCCAAGAAAGATCCTTTTTGTCCACCTGGCAGGGCCAATAGAGCTCATTGCCAGCCGTCTAGAAAAAAGAAGGGGACATTTCATGCCGCCAAGTCTACTCCAATCTCAGTTTGATACTCTTGAACCTCCATGTGCGCCAGAAAATTTTATCACTGTTAATTTGGAAAAGCCTGTTTCAGAAACAGTATCAGAAATTGAAAGACATCTTAAAAGCTTGTTCTGATGTTTCTCCAGGTTTTCTTGTTTTGAACCCCCATAGCCACAAATAATGTTACTCTCACATAATTTATTCTCCTGATTAAGCAACATATTTATGTTGTATTTACCATATTTGTAGCATGAATAGAAAATTTAAGCTTGCCTAGTTTTTGATTTATTCATTACCTTATATCTAATTTAAGAATTTTTAAACCATAATATTGACATTTTAAAAATTGCAGTGGAAAGTTTAAGTTAAAATGAATTCTTGGTGAGAAATCATATACTTCAGTTATACTTGCAGAGTGAGAGAGAACACTACTGCTGCTGCATTTGGCAAAGTGGAGTATCAGAAATCAGCAATATCCTTGAATCAGCTGGAAATGACAACCATTGTAATTTAATAGTAGTAAAATGTTGTTTAAAAAAGGCAAATCGGAATATTGAAAGTAGCAGGACTGTTTATTCTAAGGTGGCTAATGAAAAATCATACTCTGTATCTATCTATCTATCTAGCATAGGCATATTCTTTTTACTGATACTCTGTATCTATCTATCTAGCATAGGCATATTCTTTTAATTTGTATTAAAAGGCAAAATCATAACATCAAAACTCACTACTTTTGTCACCTTATTTTATTTTAAATTATATAGTCACCCATCTCAGCATGATGAATCTGGGAAGCTAACAATGGTTAAAATCCCACAAAATAAACACCACAATAAATACATAATTGGCAGCTGAGATAAAACCACAAACACCCCTCAACATCACCACCTCATGGATTCTGCCACACATTCTGATTCCAAGCCCAGCTTCATAGCAACTTCTTCAAAGCTTTACCAAAGGTCAACGGGATTGAGGATAATTTATGTTCCAAACAGCAGGCACAACAACCAAAAGATACTCTTTCTTGGTCCTGTCAGTTGGCATTCATTATTTGCACGTCTTGTAGCCTGCAAGCAGTACCTTCGCTTGAATCTAGAAACCATTACTACAGCTTTACAGTAGTAGTATCTGCATGATATTAGATTCCTCAACTGATCTACCTTGAAGGTCTGATATGTACGAGTGAGCTCTTCTTCATCCACCCCCAAACCCCACCCCACATCTACAACACCGAGAAAACACCCACAGCATCCCTTGGTTGACCAGGAGTAAAAAGATAAAGCCAGGTATTGGTATATTAATATTTCACTCCATGCTGTCAGATAAACTCACCAGCAGCTTCGTGTAAATGGTAATGGAGAGAGCACTGAGCTATGAACTGGCACCATCTAGAATCAGCCGTAGAGGAAGGAGAACACAAACGTAACACTGTGGTACTTACTCCTAACCAACAAAATTCATTCAGAAAGCTACCACGATCAATTGTATGGAAAGCTACTGAGATGTTAAAAAGGTTATGTACAACATCCAAATTCTGCTCCTGCCAGAGTGTCAGGCACAACCAGATGTGTATGAAAGGTTCAAGTTCACTGCTTTATTATATTCTGCCTATTATCCAGGAATCATTCCAGAATGCCAGTTTTAGCTAAATAATAGATAAGATTCTATGGAGCTTAAGGGGGAGTCAGTTCTGGACCTCTTGCAGCTGCTTGAGGACTTGAGATTAATTCCATGCTCTAGGTTAGTGGTCGCCAACTGGTGGTACTTTTGTGACTTTTGTAGGCCCTTTATAGCAGCAGTCGCCAACCGGTGGGCCACAGCCCACCGGTTGGCCTTGAGAAAATTTTGGTGGGCCGCAGAGAAATCTCACTCCCAGAGCACCTCCCCAAAGCAATTAATCCAGGCTGCGCAGAAACACAAGCAATTAATCCAGGCTGCGTCGCCCACATGGTCCGCAGTAACGTTCCCTGCCCACTCACTCCTTACCCGGCAAACTTGCCTGCTAAAATTGCTATTTTTCCTTTTTCCGACCATCATCTGTTCTGCTGTGCTGGGAGATTTAGATTAGCTAGGGAGCAGAAAATGGTTGGATTTCTTGCTTTCTAGCTAGTCCTTAGATCTTCGGCTCTGCTTCCTTTAGGACTGAAGGTTTGCTTGCAAGCAAATTCAGTGCAGACTCACGACAAGCAAATTTGAGAGATTGAGCTAGCCGATGGCAGATAGATAGATCTCTGAATGGATCTGTGAGCAACTCAATCTGCCTGCTTTGCCTGATTTTGGGTAAAAATTGCTTTTTTTATAAAAAAAATTCAATATTTACATACATCGTGTTTTGTGAGTTAATTTTGTGAGTTTGCTTGCTAGTAAATTTTATGAGTTTGCTTGCAAGCAAATTTTATGTGACAGACTGAGCTAGCCAATGGCAGATAGATAGATCTCTGAATGAATCTGTGATTCTGTGAGCAACTCAATCTGCCTGCCTGCTTTTGGGTAAAAGTTGCTCTTTTTTATAAAAAAAAATCAATATTTATATATTTATATTTACATACAAGCCACGCCCAGCCAGTCACATGACCACCAAGCCACACCCACAAATTAGGCCACGCCCACAGAACCAGTTAGTGGTCCCTGGGATCTAAAATTATGAGTTTGGTGGTCCCTGAGGTCCAAAAGGTTGGCGACCCCTGCTCTAGGCTTCCCCCACTCTGGCTGGGGATTTCCTAGAACAGAGGTCATCTAGAACAGTGATCCCCAACCTTTTTGACGCCGCGGCCCGGTACCGGCATCAACTGGGCGTCGCCATCTTTTTTTGACGAAAAAGTGCTTCCGGTGACCTCACCGGAAGCACTTTTTCGTCAAAAAAGATGGCGGCGCCAGCGCTTCCGGTGAGCTTTTTCGGGTAGAAATGGCTTTCTACCC